ATTCCTCCTCAGATACTCCAGTTTAATATTCTGATATAAGTCCAGAGTATTCTGGACTTTGTACTGGTAAACATGAGAAGAGTTCTAAATTATCTAAGACGGCCAGAGAATAAGAGAAAAAACAGCAAAAGTATTTTCAAAAAGTCCTAGTTTAAGCTTTTACAGAATAATATTATTTAGTCAAGGAAGCTTATGCAATTGCTTTCTGGGCCATCCATCCAAAATGTTATTTTCTAATGCTTGTGTGTGTGCATCTTATAAGTCCACAAAGGGAAAAGAAAATATTAATCTAAAATGGTACTGCCTAATTTTCTTGACTACGTAATTCATCCAATATGGATTTTGGCAGCTCAGCTTTAACTCCAAAACAAAAGAAATCCACACAAAAGACAATAAATCTGCATTACACATGGTACTAAAATGATCCAATGGATTTATAGATGTTTACAAGTTTGCAGAGTGTGACACAGCGTCCACCAGAAATTTGATATTCACAGCACAAAACATCATAAACATATGTCTGCAACTACAAAGGGGCCTTTTTATGTGGGGATCATTGTTAAAATTGTCTTCAGAACATAAACCTTAAGTTGTAAATGCTACTCCCCATTTATTCTCCGAGACATAACAAATGAGGAAAGAAAAGCAGAGATATGTTTGTAATTGAAAATGTTTCTCAGGAAATGATCTGTACAGGAACATCATTCTCATTCCATTAACTGCTGACTCCAAGCCAACCATTTGTAAAAGTAAATAAATATGCAAACTGGCTGACAACAGTGTGCCTGCCTTTAATGTTACTGCATTAGTACCCAGTTTCCAAAAAAGAATCTATTTTCTTTTCTCATTTCTCCATTAAACCAAACATGGCATACACACAAAAGAACGGGAGAAATGCTGTTCACAAAGAAGAATGGGAGAAATGCTACAATTTAATTTTCATGCAATACAAATTAAATGCTTATTTGCCTTGAACTTTCTTTAAAGTCCAAAGATACCCTAAAGTACCTCAGTGACTAGGTTGCTGTTCCTTTCTTTTTTGAAACTAGCAGATCAAAAAAACATCCATAGCTTCACAGATCTCTGATCTGATCTGAGTATGCAAAAAACAACAACAAAACATGGAGCAAACTCAATACTTTTAAAAAAATATACATTATTATATTGGCCATGTAACAAGTAGCTTCATTAAGCTTTACATGCTTTCACATTTCATTTGGGATGAAGGTTCTTTCTCAGAATTTTCTAAGAGGTAAGAAGTCGTGCAGGGTCAAGCTAACACAGATGCCAGTCATTCCATTCATTCCTTCACAACACATCCTCTCAACACATCTTTTAGAATACGTAAGCAGTATTTGCAGATGTTTTGAAAAGCCTGTTGCCCTATAGAGTGTTTAAAACATCACTGGAAAAAAAAACCACCAAAAGACAGTGTTGGGAACAAATGCAGACAGGAGTTCAAATGACACTGATTCTGTCACCCAATGAAGAACAAACTATGCATATGGGAAATGCTATAACTCTTCCAAGACCTTATCAAAGTGTGTGATGCTGAATCTGATCACAGCCTGAAAACTTACCAAACAGCCTCAGATAAGTTGGTGGAGTCTTTGTGCAATAAATACCTACAGGTTGTTAGATGATGGGCACATGGTATCCCTAAATACAAACTATATTACTGAAACAAGTTCTTTGACGGCTAAGGCTTCCAATTTATTGAGATATTTATTGCAGTATCTCAGAACTGATTTATTGAGATATCTCAGAACTCCATGGGGTGCTTGGGGCTACCTCGAAACCGAAGAGAGAGTGTTTGTATCCTCCTCAACAATATTTTTATCGATTTCTTGAGTTGTAACAAATCTGCAGGTAGCAACATCCAGAACAGAGTCAGACAGACCTCTTGGTGTAGTTCTAACCCTAACCAAGGGGAGACAATTGTTTATCCTATATGTTTACCAGTTTGCTGTGACAGCTTTTTCCAAAAAAATGTTTTTTGTGGAGTGGAGAAACTGATTTTCGGGCTGACTTGCCTTGTTCTCTGAATCACCAATCAGCTAAAAGTAGCTATTCCAACATCAACAAGAGGCACTCGTGCAGAAAAGACAAAACCAAAGATCTGTTCCAAGAAGTCTTTCCCAGCTCAACAAGTTCTAGTTATTCCTAAGGGAAAACCCAAAAATAGTTCTTAGGAATGTGAGGGCACACTAGTAGCAAGCTGAGGATTTCCTGAATTTCTTGCCCTTTTCTTCTTGTGTATATAAGCCTTGTTTTTGAAGGAGAAAAAAAACTAAGTGTCAGATCCACTGCACCTCAATAATCTAGATGACTTCTTCTTCTTGGAAGAATTAGAAAAATGACTACATTTACTGGAAAGATAAGTTCCTTTTCAAGGACTGCAAAATGGTTTATGTATCACACATGAGCACTATTTTCCAACTGTACTTCCTAGAGCTACTTGTGTTTTAATATAAACATCTGGTCATCTTCAAGGAATGACTTCGTAACAAGGGATCAAAAGATTTGTAGCAAGTGGCCAAGTATTTCTACATTCCAGAAGGAAAAACCAAAACCAAACCACCTTAATACCTTCTGAGAGCTCCTCATGCTTCAAGATCTTACTTTGGTATCACAGTCACCCAAGATAAAGTTTGAGGGTGATACTAAAGCTGGACAAGTAGCTAACACAAGGACGATGGGAGTAAGAGTGACATGAAGAAACTGGATACAAAAAAGCAGATGTATTACTTATTTGCATAACAGGTAGCTTGCTTTGGTACCTTCTGCATCAATGCTGAGCATCTAACTGTAGTTCTTAGATTTAGTACATCAAAGGAGAATTGTCCTGTGACATCTAATTCTTTTTTCCCCCTTCCATTTTAAAGATTTTCAATTTCTTGCTATGTTTAATATTTGTGCCTAAGACACAGATGGTTTCTAAAAGTCTCTGCAGCGTGTCCTAGAGCATTGAAGTTTCTTGTCAAGAACAGAATCAGGATCTAATTTGGGAACTGGGATCTAAAGACAGGCCTTCAACACGGAAAAACTAGGCTGTGGCTTTGGCTGGATCAACAGAAACCCAGCTACATTCTTAAAGAAATTGGGCTGCATTAGGTGAAGGGCAGAAAACTGAAACCTTAAAATGGAAAAAAAATATATCCCCTAGCATACTGAAGAGTATACTACCCTTTGGGGTTCTCTTGACCAGTCTGGAGGTTAGAGTCCATTTGACAGCAGAAAAACTTTAGGTTCAGCCCTCCTGTTCTCACTGTCTATACAGCATGAAGGGTCATTTCAGGGACGGAGAGGAATAAATTAGGGTTGTGGCAATCCCTGACTAGAGGGAGTACTTCAGTCAGCTGGCATAAATCACAGTGTGGTGTGATCAATATTATGGCTGTGGTATTCTCCTAAAACACATTTACACCGAAGTGTAAGATGATGATGCAAGACAGGACCTTGGTAGCACAAACTGGAAACTATGTTTTGCTTAGGCAAGCAGAGTTAGTTCTCAATTTGCACAGGAAATAAATCAACACTTTCCAGTCTAGGTTCTCAAAACTCTTAATCAGAATTAATTAGTTTAACTTCCCACCCACAGAAGAAAATAGCATTATCCCTATTGTGCAGCACAGAAAGTGATGCACTTCTAGATTAAAGGATACATTTACATGTTTCCTTTCTGGAGACCCAAATTGCACTTGCAAAATGGAAGCTAGGTACTTAAAAATACAGCCTTAAAAACCTGTCTACTATGTTACACTTTGCCTGACGCAGAACAGAGAGGAATATACGTTTCTCTTGTTTCCCAAACCCCCATCTTAGCAAAGAAAACACACTTCATTTCATATAATCACTGGCAATGATACTCATCCAGCCCTGTGCCTTGCCCTTCACGGGTACTTCCTGGTACCCTCCTGAGCATTCCTGATCTTGCTCATTTCCTTATAAAACTCAGGGCATTTGGAAGTTGGAGCAGCTGTTTGTCTCAAGATAAATTACCTTACTGAACTGTTCATGTGATTATGGCGTTCACATGTTTCTTATCAGGGTACAAGTTGCAAGCAATGTAAGCACCAGCACTGTAAGGGTAAGCACCAGCACTGTAAGGGTAAACCCCAGCTCTGAACTGCACATGCATTGCAGCCATCTTTTCCAACAGATCTCAAACAAGCTGTAAGTTCAGGGCAGCACTTAATACCACCTGTCAAGAGCTGTCAGGCAAGGGGAAAAAACTGTGTAAACTCCTACCTGTTAAATGCGTTTCATGGGTTGCTGTCATTACCGATATACTGATTTCAGCATGCAAAACACTCACACCAATTGAAGCTGTGGCTGTATTTCCTACTTTGCAGGTGAACACACCAAAAATCACAATTCAATCATCCAAGTAAATAACCTTAAAAGGGTTTTACTTCATAGCACTAACACATTCAGAGGTTCCCAGAAATAATCTGCAGCCTTCAGTTGTTGATGTCATAAATGAGTTTATGTTAATATTCCTATTAGAAAGTGTTTAGTACTACAAAATTTTCATTTTAATAAACATGAGTATTAGAACGAACTTACTGCATGATACATAGCCCATTGAAAATGGCTATTCTCAAGCATGCTTTTGATTACAAATGACATTTTTTCCTGAGTGGAAATTCAGCTGATAAAAATTGCTATTTTCACACTGGATCCAGTATTACTTAAGGGCTGAATTTGTACCAAACTGAAGTTAATAGAAACACATACTCTTACGAAATACCACATATTGCAGAAAAATTTTCATGGAATAACATTCAAAATTAACAAACTACTGTGTTTTCTTCCTGAAAGAAACGTCCTGAAATGATGTCTGACAAGGGCAAGAAGAAATTAAAACTCCCATTCTTACCTTCAAAATATTACAAACCAAAAATAGCTACCATTGCAAAAATAAGAGGTCAGAAAACAATACTCCTAAACTATCACAAAGATGAAAAATAACTGAATGAGTCAGTCTAGTCTCCTACCTTTAGGACAAAATGCTCCACAGCCCATCGTAGGATCGCTGGGCCACCCTCATAGTGCATCACAGGGAAAACTGCAGTCTTTAAGGTGTCTGAAGCCCCTCACTCTGCAGGCCCCTTTGCTGCAGCTCTTCAGAGAAGCTGTATTAGCTTTAGAGCCTGTTTTCCAACAGAATGGTCCAAGCACATCACAACTCTCAGCTCAGAGCATCGCTTCAGAACAAGTGACTGACTGCCTATATAATTTAATATGATGCCACATGAGACTCATAGACCATCTGCAAAAGAAACTAAATCTGCTTTTTGCAGCTTGGTAAGTTGCACTCTGAACGCTGGGATGCAGTTTTCACTGTGTGCTTTTGTTATCAGTTGAAAAAAAACCTCAAACGGCAAGTGTAAAGCACATGTTTTTACCAACCTCGTAGTTCATTTCTGCTGTAGGTAACTTGTACCTTTTACCCTTAGAACTGAACAAAGTAACAATTCCCCTTAAAGCATAGGAAAGGTCTGGGCACAGAGACAGCACTATTAGAAATAAAATTTCCTTCTTTTTTCCTCTCTCTTTTTCCTTTTTTTTTTTTTTTTTTGCCCCTTAAAGCACAGGAAAGGTCTGGGCACAGAGATGGCACTATTAGAAATAAAATTTCCTTCTTTTTTCCTCTCTCTTTTTCCTTTTTTTTTTTTTTTTTTGTGAAACAAAGGTTGCTCAATAAGAGCTACAGAATCCTTGAACCCTGTTGTCAGAATTGGAATGTACATGTGATATTACCAAATTCTGGACTTGTTCACAGTACTCCTTTGCCTATAAATATTTCCCTATCGAAATAATTAGCAACACTCACATGGAAGGAGGACTAAGCTCTAAAACAGGCAAAAGCACATAAAAAGCAGAGGAAAGGAGAGGTATGAGCCATCAAAAGAATAATAAACTACTGGTAAGAAATGAACTAGTTTTATGGGCTATGGGTCCTTCCAAAGAGGGACAGTAATGAAAAGATAATCTAAAGCAATTACTTGGACTAAAAATCAAATTACTCTGAAGTTTTCTACAGACTAAAACTTTTCAGAAGCTGTAAAATGTTTAAGTGTCTGTTTCAACTTGGAGCAGGATGAGGGAAGTGACACATCCCTGGCTCATTTCAAGTCGTGGAAAGTGGTTACCTTTCTAGTTTCCAATTGAACTTCATTTAAAATACCAGTGCCAAAAGACAAGTATGGAGAACTGAGAGGTATATTATTGTTTAGGCTTATTCAGCTGTGCTACACAACATTCCTCCCCCAGGTTTTGTGTCAGGTGTGATTCCTTGTAGAAAAGGACAAGCAGCTCTCATCACTATTCTGAAATAACATTCTCTGCCAGTTCTAAGGAGTCTCTGATACACATGGGTCTGCAGCTACTGGGTCACTCCTAAAAGCAGCCTTCCCCCGCCAACAGTACTATTTCATGCTGTACTCAGAAGTAGTAATGGGGCTCACCCCATTCTGATTCCTGGATTCCCATTGCTTTCTGGCACCGGGAAACTGGATTGCTGAACTGCTGAATAACAGCATTCAATTACAGGACAATACTGAGCTGGTAGTTCTTTACCAAGCTTCCTTTTCTTAATTTCTGAATAGAACCGTAAGTGTCCCAGATACTTTATTATGGCAATCCCATCTGGGAGGTAAGTACAGCTAAAGGAAAACCCCACTGCACTTGAAATATCAAGGAAGATGCCGAAAATTATTACATGTTAAGAAAATTCACAAAGTCTGAAGCTACAGCAACCTGCATCATCAATTCACCAATTCAACCTATTTTATAAGTGATTATTTATACCTATTTATAAAGTGGCACTTTTTTGCATGCATAAATGTAGCTATTTTACAAAAATAGTAAATAGAAGTGGTTTTCTTTAGGACAAGTTTTTGTACCTACAGTAGTAGCCAAAAGATCAGGCCCAGGTAAACTGTTCTAATAGGTGTAGTTACAGTAGAGTAAAAAAGCTCTAAATGAGCTAAAGCAGAGCTGCCTTCTCAGAGGGCATAACATGGCGAAAAGTTGACAATAGCAGTTCTGAAGTGCATAGCTTTGGGACCAAGTAGCGGAATTTCTAACCATACTCTGTAATCCATTTTCACTTGCCACAAACATAAATTCAAGCAGGATTTCTAATTCCTGTAATCTAACAACACCACCACCATCACCATCATTCAAAAAGCCTATGTACCTCCCCCTTTCCTCAGGAGAGATCACTGCAGGGAAAAAACAGCACATTGGTAAGATACTTTGGGCCTAGAGTTTCCCAAACTGTTCCTAAGAGTTCACTTTCAACCCCACAATTTTCAGCCTTGTAAAAACAGAAGTATAGCCAGAGAGGACTAAAGTCTTTTTCAAGCGGTTTTGGCCATCAATACAGGAAACAATTCAAAGGCAACATGACACTGATAGCTTAATTTGTGAAAATGGATAAATACCGTATCTGCCACATAGCACATTAACCCATGTAACAAATAAATACAGAAATAGCACTGCAATACTTGGTTAAAAGGTTTTGGTTCACAGAGGAGGAAATTTAATTAAAGCATGTAATGTCAATTACTGTCATTTGTAATTTTATTTTGCTTCCCTAGAAACAATACAGATGCAGGATTCTAAAGTTACCTGCATGTTTGATGCAAATGGGATAAAATTATCTAGGTTCTGAGAAAATCCAGATAGTAGTAGGAAAAAAAATGCATTTTTACCTAACCTCATTCATGGATCTCCTTCAAAGTGTTGATTACATGAGGACTGCCATGCCTCCAATTTAAACATATAAGCCAGCAACCCAGACCTAAAACAAGACTTTTATGTTTAAAAAATTGTGTTAAGTCATCAGAAAGGTTGGGAGGGGAGCAACCGCCTAATTCTCAGCTACTGCAAATGGGCACAACCTTACTAAAGCCAACAGAATAACATTTATTGATATCAGAAGAGAATTTGACTTACTGTTTATAATGATTGATTTCAATGGGAAAATTACAGAGCCAGGTCCTTAATACTTCTGTCTCCTTCCCTCTGCTCTGTGCAAAAGTGACAGAGACCTAGGAGCCATGTAGAAGATGCCAAGTATTTCATTACCACAGGAATAAACATTGCCAAATCTCGCCAGTCCTTCTCGTTTGCCATACACAATGCACTGCAGTATCAGCATCCATTTTTGTTTCTACACAAACTGCTTTTCAGCAGTAGAGCTCAGTGCTGCACAGAAGCATCCTACCCATAGGGTATTATGTTGCAGTCAGCAAACAACACCAGAAATGGACAAATTAAACTTACCATTGGTGAAATACATGCCAGATATATCTCTTGCAAACTATGATCTGAGCTACTACTAGAATCAGCGGGAAGAAATCTGCTGTAAAGAACTCCAAGCCATTTTCCCTTAAGTATCACCACTTCTAAATATGGCAAGCATCCCGCCTTTGAAAAAATTGTACTTTTCTCAACAGTGTAATGCTACAGTAAAATGGTGATTAGAATTATAGGAAAGAGCTAATAAAAGAAAGACGAAACCAATCAGATGCTTTCTTATGTCTCCAAATGATACACATAAATCGCGTCTATCAGGTTCCCCCAGGCTATTTCAGGAGTATGCAGAAAACAAAATGAGGCAGATTCATTACAAAAAGTCTAGATCTAATCTACTTGAATTTAAAATGCCAGGAATCACATAAATGGTAGATAAGAACAGAACTCATATGTTATACATAAGCAGAAACAAGAGTCATACAAATCGGGAGTCACATAAAATGCTCAGTTACCAAGAAATTATAGGTCAGATCTCTGGCAGTGCCAAAGTCTATTGGTGTACAACTGCAGTGAGGAAAGAGGTGTCTCCAAACTGCCTTCATACCTTCCCCAGTCCTCAAAAGGATGACATGAGACTAGCATCTGGGATTTCAGGGGTGGTATGAGTGACACGAGTTTGTCACTGAAGGTCTCATAGCACTGCTATGCTTTCTGAAATCCATCGGTGGAACTCTCCAAAATGTTCTTTACTTTTCACAGTCTACTTACACGAGGACATGTGATAGGAAGCTTTTTGCATCCTAGGTCGAGATTTCACCATGCTGAGGAAATCCTCAGCTGTTCCAACAGACCTGGTGTAAGGCCCCTCCGCATCACTTTCACAATCAGCACAAAGGCAAAGCTGAGAGGCTGTCCTAGGACAAACAATGCACCATCTATTCACAATTCACTTAGCAAAAATGAAATGTGAAAAAAAAGATAGATTTTAACCTTTATGCTTACCATCAAAGCTTACGTACACTTAACCTCCCCTTTCCATTCGCCAGGGATAAAACCCATAAGTGAAGAATTCCAAAACAGACTGTGTAATGCAAAGGGAGGAGTTAAATACCAGAGTTATATTTTTAGAAGTGCAAATTATCAAGCTGTGTCCCTCCTAAATAACACAGGTGAATGCTGACAAATGTCATTCAAAAGGGGCGATTCCAACTGTACCAAAGTGGCAACTGCAAAAAATTAGACTGTTGACTAAAATAAAATACCATTGACATGACATATTTCACCTATAATATACCTAACAAATGGCTAAAAATATGTTTACAAGATCCTGAGGGATTACAGCTCCCCCAGTATGTCACTATTATCTGTAATGCACCTTGCAAGAGAACTAGAATGATGCTATCACTATAAATATACACACTTTTTACACCCTATATCATAAACAAAATCTTTAATACAACCTGGGGTGCACACAAAATCACATCACTTGAAACACTCTAGTAACAAGCAAGTCTCATTCCCTGCCACTAAATCAAGCCATGCCCAGGTCTAAAACTTCCACCTGGAGCCAGGCATGTCGACTTGTTATGTGCTGACATTTTGAACTGAATGAGGGAATTACTCTCCTCGGATCAAAACTTAAACATCAGCAACACTACTGAAAATACAGAAACAACCTCAAAGTCAGTAGAATCTCAGCGGCATAAAACTTGTATGCAGATCAGACCTAAATCACAACTCCTGCTGATTTCTCTTGTGGCACAAAAATATTACTCAGCAAGAGTGAAGACTGCACAATTGGTTACC